GGAAAGTAATACACAACTTTAAAACAAGAACCAATTATTTAAAGTGCCAGGCACAACTAAATATAAATACCATGGCTGTACAAGCTATAAAGCACTGAGGAAGAGAAAGTACCAGTTTCCAAAATGTTTAATTTGCTGATGGAAGCAAACTCAGCAGTGAGATGGTAGCAAACCAATTACATTGCCTAGAATTAAAGAGATGAATAATTTTATGACAGCTACTACTGGCACCAAGATATAAACTTCAATGCCTGCAATGACTGAGTTCAAGCAAACAAACTCATGAAGGGAAATACAAGATAAACTGGCAAAAATGCGTCCTACAGAGGGAAGTTCTGTATTTTACAGAGGTGACACCTGAAAATTCTTTTTTTTTCCTCCTCAATAATCTGTTGCATACACTAAGAAAGCCACTGAACTAGTCTGGCTAGGTTGATATTTAAAACAGCAGTGAAGGCACAGTAACATAGATTTTATTTCAGTGCTATTTTAACACAATTTAGTTAGTTCTGGTTTGCCATGCGTAAGAAAACATTTGTATTCGCAAATAAGCTACAAAACTGGCAGAGGGTATTTACACACACACTCAGTGGTAGTCTATAGCATTATTTCTAAAAATGAATCATGAACATATTTTAGTATGTTCATAGCTAGTGCAGATACAAACAGTGCCTCCTGAGCCATCACTTAAAATCCTCCCACAGAATCTGCAGCTAAGGCTTTTGCTTGTTTTAAACCAGAAGAAAGAAAACAAGCAATGCCAAGCAGTCTGCTCAGACAGAACTAACTTCTAGAACTGAATTTTCCTGATAATACTGATTTGGTATTCCAAAAGATGAGACAAGTAGATGGAAAAACGCATAGCTGTGATACATTTGATGTTAACTTGGCATTGATCTCACTGGGACTATCTATATGAGCACATGTATAGCTGTTTATACAACCAGTGTAAATAAGGGTTCTATAATCAGGCTTAAAGCACTTCCCAGTACTTCTGCTGAAGCACTGTTCAGAGACACTGTAGTAAACTAAAGCACTCACTGAAAGCAAAAGGGAGGAATCATCAATAAAATAAATGCAGGTTAACTATCAAACTTTGTTAGCATTATTATAAACATACTATAATTAAATGCAGTGAAGTCCACTTTAGAGATGCTCTGGCAGTGTGAAAGAATAGTTTTAAATTTTATGTACAGCAAATTATGCAGTGTGCTGTTCATATCTGGGAAGTATTTTACATGGTTGGAATTTAAAATACCAAACCTTCTCAACTGTGCCCTTCAGAGGCACAAAACACCTCAACCTGGAAAAAAAGAACAGCAAGCAACACAGTACTTAACATCCCATTCATCAGTATTGTATCATCATAGTGCTGTGCAGTACAAATATTAACTGACTGGCATTTCTCCTGAGTTAACTAGAACAAATAATACAGTAGCTATGTCAGCCATGATAAACAAAACGTACACAATCCAGCATGATGTTAGAGTTTACCAGCTCTAACATCTGACCTGGCATATTAGAGAAGATTATCAAAAAAATATACAAAGACATGAGCAAAATTTTAGTCCCACTCAGAGCTTTTGCATTAAAAAGTCCCACTGTGCAGTATTAGATTTTATATCTACCATACCTGACAGCCTGAATTTCTCCATCTTTGCATTTAAGACATAAATCACTTTTTCCAGTAGGACACACTACTGCTCGTTTTCTTCAAAGAAAACTTTCTTTTTGCATTTTTGCACTGAAGAGCAAAAATTTTCTGTCCCTCTTAAGCTACAGTTTTCACACTGTTTCACATTCTTCTCTAAACATCACTCCAGAGTGTTCGCACCACTCAAGCCTCACCCTTTAAGAGGTGCACCACCTTTTACAAAACAGGCTGTATTTTTTAAAAAATATTCCTTCAGAATTATATATAGCCTTTGTGGAAAGTTTGCAAGAGACTATCCAAGACATTTGTTAGAGAAAAAAAAAACCAAAACAACAATCATTTCCTTATCACAAAGTTATATCTTTTATATAACAGACTGACAATTCATGGAAATTATCTTCTGGTTTTGGTCTCAAAATTATTCGTAAAAACACTTGTGTAAAAGAAATACTAGAACTGTTACTACACAAAGTGGCATAGTGTTTCTTTTGATAAAGGTGTCTCAAGAAACAAAAAGAAACCACCATCAGCTTGACTGAAACATCTTTTTTCTAAAATCAAGGATATAGTAAGAAGTAACGGATCTGGCTAAGGATAACCAGGCTAGTAGCACCAAGGCATAGTTTTGATAACCTTCTTCTTCCACCTAGTGGCAATAAGCATAAAAAACAAGGTCTTTGGGACTGCAATCATAAAACGTTTGCAAACACCCTCTGTAAAGATCTGCTGACCATTATAAGAAGGAGTGAGTCGTGCACAATTCTGGTTTCCATGGTTAAGTTCACAACTAATAAACATACTATCACAAGGAGCTTAGAAATGCACTTACAAGACAGAATTGTTGAAACAAACCTAAATCCTCTCTACAGGCATATTTTTATTCACAAAGTTTAGGGGTTTTTTTTCCAGGTTATTCAGTCTGATTATCTTGGAAGAGGTTGCCACTCCCCAAATCCGCATTCTGCCTCAACTGCTCAAGTATTTACCAAGAAGATCTGAAAACAAAAAAACCCAACAACTTACAGCAGAACTGCTCAGCATTTCATCAAAATTAGTAAATCAAATACCACAATAATATAAATTAAGACAGCTAATTCTATTGTCCTATAGACAGGAGGGTGGCTGTAGCAGAATATAAGAACTAATTAAAAGTTTTTGCTGAATTACCCAGTCACTGTGGAAAAAAACATGCCTATTTGTATTGAACACTATGTAATAGAAATATATCCATTTCAACTGGAATTTTAAGAGCAGTGTTTTCAAGCTCGCACTCTGCTTCTCTTTAGGATCAACATTCTCACAACAGAACCTACTGAATTAGAAAACAGGTTAAACTAGAAGTGTATTTTGGGAGGCAATGACAAGCTGATACTATACCCTTGAGCTTTCAGCTAACCCTGGCATTAAACTTGAGGAAACTCCATCCTTATCTTTTGTGGGAGTTCTTCTCCTGAAAAAGGACAGGAACAAGGGAATTATTTCCTCAAATTAAAAAAAAAAAATATTAAAAAGCAGCACTGAAAACATGCTTGGATATTTACCACGTCTGGTATCTGTTATCAGCAGGACTAACAAAACACAGCTCCTCATACATTTATATTTTATACATACACTCTGTCTCCTAAGCTTCTTACCTTAAGATAACACTGGGGCATAGGCCTATGAAATCTAAGCTCACTTCTATGACAGCACCTCTTATCCATTTAAGTTCCACATATTTCCTAGCTTCCTAATCAAAGTCTAAAGGTAAGAGGTTATATGTACTACACCTGAAGCTAAGCATGCACCAACTGCTTCAGGTACTGGGCACTACAACTGCAGGATAAAGGCTGAGAGATGATCTCTCCTCTTCCTCAATTTGGGTGCTATAGCGAGGAAATGCCTACAGCTGTTCATGGCCACACATTTTGCAAGAATCCAGTTATCTTTCAAGGTTGTCTGTTACTCAGATTCAGCTGAAATTGGCCAAGGGATTTAAAATTGTTGTGGTAGTGGGGGAAAAGATGATGACAACATTGCTAGAAAGTCAAAAAGGTAGTGATAACCCAACAGCCTCACTTCCTTAGAAATTCTGGCTAAATATGGTAAAATAATTAAAAACTGCCACAACATTAACATTTTCACATGTGAAAATGTCACACTTAAGGTTATCTAAAGCCTTTGCAGAGCTAAAAAAAGTTAAATACTGTGCACTCTCCAGTGGGTATTCCCCCATTTCCAAAGTAATAAAATTCCTGCATCATAGACTTAGTATGTCACATTATGTAACTGGCACAAGGCCAAATATTATCCCCAGGAAACATGTGAGACAAGTTGATTTTTTTAAAACTTTTTTTTGAGCAACGAAGTGCTCACAAGGTCGAAGTATTCAAATCCATTTCAAAGCAAAAAGGATTTGCGGACAGAGTGCTTGAATGATCTATGCTTTCTATCATGCAGCTCTGCATTTTATGAAATTGATATCCTACATGAAGTATATCCAGTGTGACAATTTAGAGAGTTTATCTGTATTATTCTTGATACAAGTTTGACATACAAAAACAGCACAATGCTGAATGCCTATATATATGTATGCATGCAGATACACACATACACTGAGTTAGACTGGATTGAATCACATTCCTTCTATACCAGGATTAATAATAAATGAACATGTACTTAAATGGAACTCATGCAGAATAGAGTTTGTTTTGTCTTTTCCTCATGTCATCAAGAAAGGAGAGGCAATTCAGGAAAGACAGCTACAACTGGACTCCACAGTGTAAAAGAGAGCCTGGTTAAAAGCATAATCAAAGCGAGAAAGCTACAAACTAGCATGTCGTATCAATGAACATTGATACTCATCCCTGCAAAGTTGTGGGAGCTTTAAGTGATGCTGGCAAGCGTTGGACTGTCCACTGATGAGCCATGAATTCACTGCTGGGTGCCAAGACACTGGGCTTCCATCTAACATATGCCTTATGCACAGACTCTCCCCTACAGTAAGTTCCTACCAATGGATTAATTTAAGTTTAAACCTTTAGAAACAAGTCAGTGCACAGGTTCCAACTCTGCAGTCCATGAACCCATAGGGAAACCTTTTGATGAAAGCCAGCACCTACAGTTCAAACAGACTCTTAAAGCTTAGAAACATACAAGTGAACCAACTGATATCAGTGTGGAGTAGCACGGGTCTCGAGTAAAGTCAGTGTGGTAATTCTCATTTTCAGAAGCACCTAGCATTACATTTTGTACTGCAGAGACAATTATTTCACTTTAAATTACTTATTTAGGGAAAGTAATCTATTTCCCTCAAAGTTTATAATTTGCTTTCAAAGTCAAATGTGAAGTAGTCAGTTTGAAGTGGGAATGAATACCAGATGAAGCTTCTGAATAAATAATTTGATTTACTGTCCTTTACATGCAAAAACATCATTCATCATGTGAAAACAATCTTTGTGAGAAAAACAGTAAGCTCATTTCCAACTTCTGCACACACTGTTTTGACAAACTGCTTAAAATAATATCTAAAAGTTGAGTGAATCTTTCTTTTTGACCAAAATTTCAAAAGCAGCTTTGAGATGTCAGTATCTAAAAGACATTTTTAATCAACATTTACTGGATTATTCAATATTTCAGACTGATGTCATTCTTTAGAAAACTGTATATGGATTGAAAGTAGAAAAGAAACCAAACAATTGAATGTACAATATTTACAATTTTCAATAGATGGCACTTTATAGCAAGGAATCTGTAACATCTAATTAAAAGAGAGCAAAAACAACTGGATGGCTGAGTGCATTGACATGTCAAAGTCTGCATATGAAAAAGCCTAATATCCTTAAATTTGAAAGTATAGTTCTGTAAAACTTAAAGTACATGGAGAGAATCTAAAGCCAGACAAAACCTCTGAAGTAACATTCTAGCTCAGACAATCACACTGAGATGTTCTTCACAAACGCAGGATATACCCATCCTTTCTTCTCAGGCAGAATTTACAGGTAGAGTTAAATTTAAAGACAGCAAAGAAAACATGACCATCAGACTATGGTTATTACTGCATACAAGCTCAGGAGAGAACTGAGAATCCTTTTAGTAACATGACTTAGAGTGTGCAGTCTTGTGCAATACTTTACAGGCATTTTGATATCTAAAGCTACCCAGAAGTTTTTTAGAACCATTTATGAGCTAAATAAACAAGAAAGGCCTGGGAACATTTCTGCCTCCAAGTTACAACCCAAGTTACACTTTTAAGTCATTTGTCAGTATTATCTGCGTGGAAGGTATTTAATAACAAGACTCACAGAAGGCAACCTGAGAATGATAACATTTAAAGAAATCCACGGGGAACAAATTTCAGTTACCTAATCGATAGTTACAAAGTCACTCTTCTTGGACATGCACAGAGAAAGGACAAAAGGCAATGGACTGAAGGTGCAGCATGGGAAATGGCAATCAGGTAACTTTTCATAACAGAACTAGTTGAGTTCTGAGCAAACTCACCTAGCTTCAACAATAGCCCTGCTTTGAGCAGGATGTGAGACTTACAAGAACATCAGTCCGTTACAGGAACTTGTAGGATTCTAAACTGTTCAGTAGAAAATGCTACCCAAAAGGATGAGACCCCGCACCATATCCTCAGAACATAACTTCTGAAAGATACTTCCTCAGTTATGACTGAGCCATATTTTCCTCAGACTCCCCAAAAAAATTTTCCTCACAAAACTAGAGACGTGACCACCTTTTACCCTGTCATGATGACATTGCAGCATGATGCAGGAAGTCCTCTTTCTAGTAAAGGACTGAGGTCTGACTCCTCATTCTGAACTAAACCAAAGAGGTTTGATTTTGAAGTCACCTATTTTTCAGCTGTAGGGAGTGGTTAGTGGCTAAGCGTTCCATTTTGTAAACTAATTTATGTAAGATCAAGTCAGCAGCCACAACCAAGCAGCACTTACTATGCTAGACAAAAAAAGGAACATCGCATTTGTAAATCGTGTAAGAGTTTACAGATTAGATGTTACCATCTAACAGTATTCAGTACTGTTGAATTCATGCCCATATGTAGAAAATGTAGGCACATACCATTAGAGACCATTCCAACGTTACGTGGCACGCAAACAAAATTCTCTTATGCCTGAGCTGAATCCTTAAGGTGATGTGACAAGGTCTTGAAACAAACAAGCTTTTGCAGGCACACAACTGTATCAAAAGGTTTTACTGAACATTATTTGTCCCAGAAACATTTCCTAGAATATATAAAACCTTCTGTAAATCTATCCTCTAAATATCACTATGAATTCCACACTGAATTTGAAGCAGAGGTCTGCTAATAAAATAATGCAGATTAAGCTCCCCCTTCAGCACTATTGCAAGGGAAAACTTCAGGTGTAGGAAGGTACAGGAAAGGATAGTGTTATATCTCCACAGCATCTTGCAGTGCAAATACTGGGCCACAGAATGCCATGATAGCTATACTCTTTTCTGTTCCTGAAGGAGGCATTCTTTCTCCTGATTGCAATCAAAAAATTTAGGCACATAATCTCATTCAACAGCAGAGAAACAAACAAGCACCAAACACAGGAGAAATGCAGCAACTACAGGAAACTGAATGATTCCAAGACAGATATTGGCCTTGTCAGGCTTAGAGTTCTTATGAAAACACAGTTGTAATTTTAGCATTTTTTACCCTTTGTTGTTAAGATTCATCTCTTGCACAGATGAAAACCTGCACACCCCAGCTAAACTGAAACACAAACCGTTGCATACTTCATATATTTATAATCAGCTGGCCCAGATACTTTACAGTTGGTTTTAAAATTGATCAGTGATTTTGGTGTCAAGGAAATCTGATGTTTACAAACTCCTCTCAGAATGAGTAAGTTGTTTCCACACAGCTCCATCCAACCCTAATGCTATAAAAATAGATGTCTCAATTCATTTAATTAGTGAGACACTTCCATATATCTGATTCAGGCTGCTGCCAGTCTTCTCCCATTAGACCTTTCAGGTTCAAATCCTTGAAAAATTCCAGGCGATGACTGCAAAGAGAGGAGAAATAAACAAAAAAGTTGTAAGTCTTGTAGTATGTGTCTTAATAAAAGGCAGTATTCTCAATAGGTTGAATTAATCTTTATTTTCAGGTTTTCTTGGATAGGAATGTAATTAGCATTCCATGTGTTCATCTTCCAAATCTTGAGTTTATAAATAAAACACACTACCATGTTTCTGAAAATCTAGTATTGGAAAACACAGGGCAAAATCCTCAGCTATGAGGAAGTACCATACAGCATAAAGTGAAGGTAACAAAGTGCTCACCTTTTAAACTCCCTCAGCTTAAGTTGCCTAGAACTGTGGTCAGAGCAAGAGCATAACAATATCCTGCTTTATGACTTATCCGCACTCCAGTAGATAAAAAATTTACAACTCTGACCAACTGAAAAGTCGTATTACAGGGTTATCATTTCCTTACAGAAAAGAGGAAGACTGAATAGGATAACGAAGGTACTAAATATATTTTTTCTGTATGACCACAAGTCTTGTTTTCTTTAAAACATTTTGAATCAGTTCTTGCTAAGAATTTCTCCTTTAGGCTACCATACAGAAACAACAGAAGGAAGACACTGCAACCAATTGCTAATTAATACTTACATCAAATAACTGCCAAACAGCAGGCAGAACATCTGACACTACACTAATCATTTAAAAAGGTAAATGGAATGTCTTGTTAGGAAGTAGTTTTTAAGAGTAAAGACAAACTAAGAGCAATGAAAGTAGCAAGAAGTAACCTCTTCACATAATTGCATCCACTACTCATATCTGAAAAAGTCAAGGGGTTTTTTTGAAGGAATACTACAGAAAAAATAGAAATAATCCCTTCCTGAAAAATAATACAGGCATTCTACAGTTTACCACAGAAAAGAAAACAGAACACTGATAATGTATTTCATTAGCAGTAGCATTTTTCAAAATAAACACTTGCAGAAGCCAAGTTTTTCTTAAATAAAGGCAAAAAAGAGTGACTTACCTAAAAATTACCTTACCTGACTGTCATTATGTTGAGTAACAAGTTTGCATAAGAACTACAGTGTACCCTCTAGAGCTAGTTCATTCATACAAAATGCCCAGAAGAAGACTTTATCAAATCATCTCAAGCCTCACAGTCAAAGAAAATAAACTGACCCTAAGCACCATTTAAAAATCAAGATATTCTAGTTTTCCTATTGATACTGGGTATCTTTTTATTATACTTTTCAGTTTAGTCTGCCTTTCCAATTTTTTCCATAATATGAAAGCATCTGTAGTGTTGAGGTTGTTTAGAACAGTAGGGGAGAAGCAAAAGTGATTTCCTGGAAATTTATGGTGAAATTAACACTAAATGGCATTTCAGGACATGCCGGAGGCAAGGAAGGAGTAGAACAACCCATCCATGAGTTTGCTGAGAAAGGTGATAAGACAGATGCCAATGGTGCCGAATGCATCATTTTCTATGGACCTAGGGGATAACATAGAAATCAAGCACTAATTACAGCTATCTGCCACAATGCTTTACACAAAGCACAGTGCCAATGGAGCAGGGGCTAAGCAGTGTAATTAAAGTACTCAATCTGCAAATCAGATTAGCTTTCTTTAAGTATAGTGCAGAATACTGCAACCACACTACAGAAAAACTAATTATATGCTTACAAATCTGGTTTCTGTCCTTCTTGTAGTTCATGTCGAGGCACAGGATGAAGCGCTTCATATTGTCTCTCTTCTCCTGAACCATGAATTGCAAATGCATTGAACTTGTTCGTACATGGTGGAAAATAATTCCACGGAAGATGAGCTTTGCCCTCCCATTTGGCTTTCATTCTTGTCACCTCAAACTCTAAAGGAAGTTCTTCCTGTTAAAAGAGGAAAGAAAAAAAAAAAAAAGAGGTACCATCATCCTCCAATCAGGCAACAGGTACCTACAAACAATTAGGTTTTCTGTACGTTATGAACGTATGTGACCACTTACTCTCCATACTCTTCTTTTGCCAGAAAGCAGCAGCAACAAGTGTTGTCCATGGCTGTAAAAAAAAAAATCAGAGCACAATTTTGTTAAAATGATACCAAGTTATTAGTGTACTGTTCTGCCACAAATATGTACATTCCCCATATTACAACAATTTCTGTTCCCAGTCTTCCTCATACATATATCTTACAAAAAATGGAAATGCAAATTAACATTTTTCAGAGTGCTGTACTTACGGACAAAGTTCAACTTCTAAATACTGTTCCGTTCTGTCACTCAGGAAAAATGCTTCTACAACTGAAAAAAAAGGCTGTCAGTCTTATGTTCACTATTTTGTAATATACTAAGACCTTCAGATCCCACTAAAACAATTTTGGTTTCATGATTTTTGTCCTGTGCCATGCCAGAGCTTGACTAGCTGTGTACATGCTACTGACAGCTTCCTAGCTATTCAAATGCTGTGCCATAATTATAACTTCAAGAGCTCTTATTTTTAATGCTTATCATCATAAAGAGCTTTATAAAGCACTGGACTAATTTTATTTACCTATTTTAGCTTTGGAAACACTCATCTTGATGCAGCAGTAAAATGGCAAGTCTACTAATGTTAGCTGTCCATGGAGTAAGAAAAGCATCAGCACACAGCTATTTCACCTGGAGTGCTTGCTGTGAACAAAGCTGACCAAGACAGAGTGATCCTAGTCAATCATACTCACAGCAGGCACTCCAGGTAGAGCACTTAAGTGCAGAAGTCTTATGTTTGCTGGTAGCCTGAGGACTCAGAGCACCAGAGACCAGAAAAAAACCCCAACCAAACAAAAAAAGGAACAACACTTACAGCAGAGCACACCCCCCACAACTAAAACTACTAAAACCCAAAAATAGTAAGGAAGTGTTTAGCTCTTAAATGTTATTTCCCTGTGGATGGCTGATACTTTGGACAGGGATTACGGTACCAGGTGTACCTTAAAGCCATGTGTGACTGTTGAATCACCTTTCAGGAACACAAAGTAGAACTAAAATGGTGTTTCTCACAGCAATTACATTAGAAAGCTTTAGTTAGAATTATGATTAGATATGACTGGTGACTTTATTTTTACATCACCCTATTTAGTATAATAATATCAAAAAGGCGCTAACATTGTTTATGTAGATCTTTAATCAGAATAGTTCAATAATCAGAAAGTAGAGAACTGCTGGAAACATTAAATTCTTGTGTTATTCAAAGCAATGGGCAAAAGTGACAGTATTGACAGGAAAACAGTATTACTACAAGAATATTCCCTGTTCCATTTGGGTACAATTTTGAATCATATTTTATGAGCTGCTATTTCTTTGTTTCACACCTTCCTAGTCCTCAAACAGACTTTACAAAAGTGATTAAAATAGACATATACTTTAGCTATTGCTCTACTTCTTAAAGCAAAAGTAGACCTTATCTGAAGGATTTCACTTTTATTTACCTACTGCAAATGCATTTATAGATATTTAAATATCAAAATAATTTTGGGGCATATATGTCTAGACTCTGTTATTCCACAAGTAATATCAGTAACCCACAAACTAAACTTGAGTGCCTACAGTATTGACAGGATCAGGAAGAGTCGATCTCACCATTCTTGAAATCAATCCAGTTCAATGGACTCCATTTCTTTATGGCCACCACATGATATAACATATTTGCTTCTTTTCCCAGTCATTTGTATCATTGCACTACTAGAAAACAATCACTCACCTTGCCTAGGCAGCAGTACTAGGCTTGAAAATCAATTCATCACCTCAAAAAAGAGCATCACTCTTGATACAGTTTGGGGCAGTTTTCAGATTAATATAGCATGATGCTTCTAGTTACTTAAGGAGCTGTTTAAAGGTAAGGACGTAATTACAGCTAAATTCTTTCTCAAACTGCTCAGGATATATGAGAAAAGGAAACTTTTATTTTACATTTCAGATCTGATCTTTAAAAGCAGTGCTGTGACCAAAGAAACCGAATTAGATGTCATACACTCACAATCATTTATTAATTTGAAAAAAATAACCATCACAGACTCTTAAACAAAGACCAGGCATATAAACTACCAGTGCCTACACAAATCAGATATATTGGCAGCAGAACAGTTACACTTACCCTCATAGTCCCACAGTCTACTAAAAGGTTTCCCTGGCTCTCCAAGGGGTGCTGGAGGGTCATTAAAGAAGGGAGCATTAACTTCCATTAGCAGTCCTGCCTTGTCCGACTTCAGCCCAATCGTTACTGGCTCATGGCTCACAGGTAAACCATCCCATGTGTGCTTAATTGTAAATTCCATCTTCATATACTACATTAATGAGAAAGGAAGGTTCTGTCCAAGAAGATCTCAGATTCCATTTCAGTACCAGCTGCACTGTTTGCTTAGCCAGGAAAAAAACCCACACTTTTGTACGAAGACAATCAAATGATGTTTTTAGACATCAGAAATACTGAAAGAGTTTAGCTGTAGAAAGCAACTAAACAGTTACATGAATGCTTTTCATAGATTTTTATACCCCCATGGTGAAAAACCACTAGTTCTACCAAACTTCAGGCATTCCAACTATGTACCTAAATAATCACGTTCCAAAAACCATCAGAAACACTTATCAAGAGAACAGATAAACAAAAAGTCTATGATGAAAGTCAATATATAAAAGTCAATGATTTGGTAACACGACAAAAATAGATTGAGAAAAACCTTTCATGAATCTGAGATGCAAGAAAATGAAACAATCAGCTAAAGCTCTCCTTCGCAGTCCCTGCAAACCAGCCAAACTAAAGGATTTCAAAGAAACCTGCAAGCACATCTTGTTAAATACACTGAATGTTTGCAGAGCAGCAAGAATAGAGAATACCACACTCCATCAGTCGTTATTACTCTGAAATAACACTACCAACCTTAAGAATAGCCTTAACCTATTTAATGAGCAAAAGAACCAGTGGATCCCAGTTTCCAACAAGTTTATAGCCCCCTACCCCTCCCCTCCTCAGTATTATGAGTTGCTTCTTATCTCCACAAAAGTAATCCTTGATTTGTTCCCTTACACATCTCCCAACCATACAAGAAGGGAACTTGCAGTATGTAGCCTGACTCAGAATTACCCACATGCTGCTAAATCCTGTGACCAGAGAGGTGCTAGCTCAGTAACTAGGTTGTAACCATGTTCCTTTCAGTGGGGAACACTAAATTGGGTTATTTCACCTCTACCCAGAGACCCATTTTCTTGGGACTCACAGTAAGGCAAGTATAACTTACCACAGTCTGCAGGTGTTGGCAACAGGTGTAGTACATGAGACAGAATGTAATCACACGCATCACACTTCCCTATATGCCACAGCCTTGCTCTTATGACACACTGTGTCTCATACCCTCTGCTACAGTCACACCAGACAGTTTCCCTTCACTGATGTTCACTCTGAGAAGCACCAGACCTCCTCTCTTTGAGTTCAAGTTGGAAAAACAGCTAGAATGATGTTAGATAAGTAGATATAATCACCATCAAGGAGATGACAATGTCAGCAAACTGTAACAGATTAGAGAAAAATCTGAAGCAATAGATTTTAGTAATTAGACATGTTAATTTAAGAAGTGCAGTTAAAAAGGTAAGTCAAATATTGGACTACTGCTTTTGACAAGTTTATATTTAAATAAACTGAAAACTAATTTAATTCTTATGTCACTATTTTAACTGTATGATATGCTAGACAAACATCAGATGTACTTTATTCAAGAGACCTGGGATAGCCTTAGAAACTATGAGCGGCTCTACCATCATTAATGTTCACTCCAACTCCAGCGACAAGTTTCTGGAAGCAAGATGACACAAGTTGAAAGAAATCAGCGTGCAAAGCATGGGAAGGGGAAGTCACCCAACAATTCCCTAACAGCATTCTTAGGCCAACAGAAGTGGGCTCATAGTCTAGTATTAGTAGTAACTCAAACAGGCAAAGCTAAATCATCCACAGTTTAAAACAAATAGAGAGAAGTATATTAAGCAAGTAGAGTGGCAACTATTCTGCAATCATTACAGCGCATATATAGAGCAGCGGGGCGGGGCGCTCAGGCCCCAGCCAGCCCCGCGTCCCCCCTCACCACCAAGGGCAGAGGCAGCCACTGCTCCCGGGCGCTGCCCGCGCCTCTCGTCCCTCCTTACCGAGGAGATTTGCGTCTGCCACCCCAAACCCCATCGACGCTGGTAACAAGGGCAAAACCAAGCAGGAAGTCATTACACTGGTGTTTTTCTTAATTGCTCCAAGAGGACTGTGGGGAACTTGGAAACCGAGTAAGAGACAGCAGCTTTTACTGTAGTTACGACTTCATTACCAGACAGAGACGGAGCTCCCAGAGGGCTCCAACCTGTTCCCGGTTTCTCTTATATCCCACCACCCCCCCCGCCCCAACAGCGACGGCGGCATTTCCTGAAGCGGAGTTTAACGCGCAAACGCCTCCTATGAACTCGTAAATTCCATAGAGAAATTGAACAAGGGGTTTCTCCTTAGACCTCCACATATTCGTCGCGACAAGGAAAAGAAACTCGGCTCCCCAGCAAGCGCCTGTCTCT